CAACTCGAGCATGATAATGAAAATGAGGACATCAATGATGGTCGGGATTATGATGATTTCAATGGAGAAGCGAACGTCCACGAGAATGGACACGAAAATGTTGACGAGAATAGGCAACTCGAGCATGATAATGAAAATGAGGACACCGGTCGGAGGAAGAGTGTTAATATTCATAATGTGCCAACAATTAACCTTTCCAAAAATGATACTCCTGATGAACATGCATTCATTGAACAACGAAACTTGCATTCGAGAAATGCTTGGATGGTTCCTGGAGTAACTTATCATTTTCTGGATGTGCAAACTCGGGTCCAAGAGCCTCCTCCTCCTGTGTTAGACTCAGAATCTGAATTGTTTAAAGGAATGATAATTGGTAGGAAGGAAGAACTGATAATGAGGTTGGGATTCTACCACTTGCAACACAAAGTGGAATATCGAACATGAAGGTCATCACAATCTCGATTTGAGTTTGCCTGCAAGCATAAAGACTGCCTATTTTTACTTCGTGCTAATGCAATGGTTGATGGTAATTGGAAAATATGTAAATTCAACCATCATACATGTATGCTCGACCTCAGTCGCTCAGCCCCTAGACAGTTGCCTTCCAAGATCATTGGAGCTTTATTTGCACCGAAGTTATTGGCAGAAGGGCGAGTATTAAAGCCGAGGGATATAATGAGTGACCTGGAGCGTGATCATGGGATTACGCTCAAATACAATAAAGCACTAAAGTCTCATAATGTCGCGTATGACTTCGTTTATGGAGATCATAATAAATCTTGGGAACTCTTGCCTGGATATTTTCATATGTTGGTGAGAGAAAATCCTGGAACCACCACATGCTATGAGACAAATGACGATGATGTGTTCAAGTACGCATTCTTTGCCTTACATGCATCCAACGGATTCACTAATTATTATCGCCCTGTGATTGTGGTTGATGGTACCCATAAGAAAGGTCAATATAAAGGCATTTTGTTCGTAGCAACAACAAAATATGGAAATGAGCAGATATTTCCATTGGTTTTTGGTATAGGTGACAAGGCATTTTGTTCGTAGCAACAACAAAAGATGGAAATGGGCAGATATTTCCATTGGTTTTTGGTATAGGTGACAAGAAAGAGCACAATACTTGGGCGTGGTTTCTACATACGCTTCATAATGTATTCGGATGTCCCGAAAACTTAGTCATTGTTTCTGATCGTCGCCCAAGCATCAAGTCGGCTTTGGAGGTTGTTTATCCCGAAGCAACTCATGTTATTTGTACGTACCACTTACGTCAAAATATTCGAAAGTTTGGTCGTGAAGTAGTTCACTTATACATGAAAGCTTCGTACAGTTATTCCCCCATTGTTCATGATAAATCAATGGTGATGCTCAAGAAAGATCATGACAAAACATGGATTGAGTTAATGAATGCATTGCCTCATATATGGGCACGTAGTTCAAAAAGGTCAGTCGTTTTATCCATATGGTGTTACCGTTCCATCTCTTGCGAACTTACATTGACAAAGCAACCAAAATGTTGGTTTTGGTAACAATATAGTGCAACATTCCACTTCTCGAGCTGTTGAAAGTGAATTTTCAAACCATGTTGATTGGGGTAAAGATAGTACATTTGATGGTGAGGATGATGGTCGATATTATGATAATATGAATGAAGAAGCGAACGTCCACGAGACTGATAGCGGAAATGAGGACGAGAATGAGCAACTCGAGCATGATAATGAAAATGAGGACATCAATGATGGCCGGGATTATGATGATTTCAATGGAGAAGCGAACGTCCACGAGAATGGACACGAAAATGTTGACGAGAATAGGCAACTCGAGCAGGATAATGAAAATGAGGACATCGGTCGGAGGAAGAGTGTTAATATTCATAATGTGCCAACAATTAACCTTTCCAAAAATGATACTCCTGATGAACATGCATTCATTGAACAACTAAACTTGCATTCGAGAAATGCTTGGATGGTTCCTGGAGTAACTTATCATTTTCTGGATGTGCAAACTCGGGTCCAAGAGCCTCCTCCTCATGTGTTAGACTCAGAATCTGAATTGTTTAAAGGAATGATAATTGGTAGGAAGGAAGAACTGATAATGAGGTTAGGATTCTACCACTTGCAACACAAAGTGGAATATCGAACACGAAGGTCATCACAATCTCGATTTGAGTCTGCCTGCAAGCATAAAGACTGACTATTTTTACTTCGTGCTAATGCAATGGTTGATGGTAATTGAAAAATATGTAAATTCAACCATCATACATGTATGCTCGACCTCAGTCGCTCAGCCCCTAGACAGTTGCCTTCCAAGATCATTGGAGCTTTATTTGCGCCGAAGTTATTGGCAGAAGGGCGAGTATTAAAGCCGAGGGATATAATGAGTGACCTGGAGCGTGATCATGGGATTACGCTCATATACAATAAAGCACTAAAGTCTCATAATGTCGTGTATGACTTCGTTTATGGAGATCATAATAAATCTTGGGAACTTTTGCCTGGATATTTTCATATGTTGGTGAGAGAAAATCCTGGAACCACCACATGCTATGAGACAATGACGATGATGTCTCTTCCCCCTTTAAGGCTCTAAAGTTCAGGTTTGAATCGATACATCGGCTGCTGCAGGGAATTTTCACCTATCTCAATAAAGTCTATGATTGGTTCGAAGAACGTCTCGAGATTCAGGCGATTGCGGATGATATAACTAGTAAATATGTTCCGCCCCATGTCAATATATTTTATTGTTTAGGGGGAATTATGCTTAGTACGCATTCTTTGCCTTACATGCATCCAACGGATTCACTAATTATTGTCGCCCTGTGATTGTGGATGATGGTACCCATTTGAAGGGTCAATATAAAGGCATTTTGTTCGTAGCAACAACAAAAGATGGAAATGAGCAGATATTTCCATTGGCTTTTGGTATAGGTGACAAGGAAGAGCACAATACTTGGGCGTGGTTTCTACATACGCTTCGTAATGTATTCGGATGTCCCGAAAACTTAGTCATTGTTTCTGATCGTCGCCCAAGCATCAAGTCGGCTTTGGAGGGTGTTTATCCTGAAGCA